TTTCGAAAATATTGTCGTATGTGTCATTTAACCCGCGCCCCGTAGGGCTACCGGCGGACCCTACCACCCGTAGGGGGGGGGGGGGGCGTTTCGGCCCCCCCTAAGATCTCGTAAAGTTACCGGCCGAATTTCAAAATTCAAACGGCGTTCGATAGCCCCACCCAGGAACTACCTTGTGACCTAATATCATTGACCTAGGTCAAACCGATGACGTCACAGGTCAGGTCAAAGGTCAGATTTTCACCGTTCACAGGCAATTCAAGAAATGTGCTGTGAAAGCGAGTAAATTGGTAATTTATTGAAAACCATCGATGGTACATTGTTCGTCAAACACATACTTTGCTATCTGAGGTCACTGATACCAGGTCAGGTCACAGCGAGGTCAGGTCACCGGGGTCACAATATGAATGTGTCGTGTGATACATGTTTTATGGTCAATTTGACATGACAAATGCGACTATGTGGGTTAGGCAGCCTTTGGGGCCAGCCTAGGTCACGTTTTTGTGAAGGTCAGGTCAAGGTCAGGTCAAATTAGTTCAAATTTCAAAGAAGATATTTTTGCATAAAATGGGTATCGATTCGATGCAGCTTGTCACGGGGAGTCTAATGGTGGTCTTCGTTTTGCTCTACGAGTTCTAGAATTGCCAAAAATTGAGTTTGAAAATTTGACGTCATCATTTTTGAACAGTTTTTTCGCTATAACTTGGCCAAAAAAACGAGGTATCGATCTGAAATTTGGTTTGTAGATAGAAGACGGTAGGCACTATCACATATATTCCGGATTTTTCGAAACTCAAAAAACTTTTTGGATTTTTTGGCGAATATATCCAAAAAAATGCTTTTTTTTATTTTTGGGGGTCAAAACTCAAAAACTTAAAAATTCGAGATAGCAGTTTTGTAGCCCTGTCAATTCTACACCTTTTATGTCTTGATCATTTTTCTGTATCTTCAAAGCTGTAGTCCTGACAGGTCTTCTCGCGAAGGTCTTATTTCGGTCGAAAATTACAGAACATGACGTCACTCTGACGTCATTTGTGGCCAACCTACCATAGCCTCTGGAAAAAAAATTTGGTCACAATGTGTAAAATTGATGCCCGGAGAGGTCCTGAAAGTTTGGTGGCGATATCTCCAGCCGTTTAGGAGATATCGACCGAAAAGAACAGGGGGGGCCGTTTCGGCCCCCCCCCCCTACGGGGCGCGGGTTAACCCGGCACCGCCTGGGCTATATCCGTACCCACGACAGCCTGGGGGGGGGGTCGGATCCGACCCCCCCCCCCTGTTATCTCGAGAACCAATGGTCGCATGGAGCCCCGCGAGGCGGCGTTCGAAAGGTCTCTACGAGACGTTCCAAAAGCACTCATAAGATTTTAAGATTGAGCTCAACTTTCGGGTCAAGGTCTGGTCAAAGGTCAAATTCTGGGGTTTTGCATGATTAGGCTTACGGACAGCGGAATCGACAGCTGCTGCTCGAAACTCACCAAAAATGACCTCAAAGACCTAGTAAAGGTACCATGTGCGTATAGGGGTCATACTAAGTACGGGTCAAGGTCAGGTCAGGTCACGAAAGGTCACGGTTTTCACTTTCTGCTACATGGGCGTGCGACACATGTTTTATGGCTTATTTTTCACGCCGAATCCGATGGTAATGGTTATATGTGACCCCAAGTCACTGTGCTGGTGATAAGTGTGCATTGAAAGCATAAAAAATCGTTTATACCATACATAACTAAACGAGGGCTAAGAAAAAATGTCAATTTTTCAACTTTTTATTTTTGACATAAAAATTCACTTTTCTAGACGACCTTTGTCCCAGGAATCTAGTGGTGTCATTTGTTTTCACATGCGATGTTCAGAAATGCCTCTAATTCACGAAAATGCTTATGACGTCACCATGCACTATGCATGTTGGAACTATTTTTACAATTTAGGGGTCAAAAATCAAGATAGAAAGTTTAAATTTGGGACATCTTATGTTCTAATAGAGCTCTAAAACATGTATTCCGGTTTTTTGGAAATTCTCAAAATTTTGGATTTTATAAGCTGTTTTGCAAAAAAAAAGTTTTTTGAATTTTTAGGGGTGAAAATCGCATTTTATGGAAAATCCGAGATAGCCATTTTAAAGAACTCGTTAAGCTGCGTCTATTCATGTCCTTAACCCTATTCCTGGCGGGGGGGGGGGCCTCAGGAGCCCCCCCCCCCTGAGGTTTTTTGGTTATTTCTCCCAAACGCGTTGAGCTAGGAAGCTCAAATTTTCTGACTTTTCCTAAAAGGCTTCTACGCAACATGTCTGAAAATTTTGAGTTGATCTGACCTCAGGTCAGGTCACCAGAGGCGGTTTGGTGACCCTACCTCAGAAAAGTTTGCAATCACGCCAGAGCTAGAGTTTTTGACCGATCAATTTCTTCTCTTCAGGCTTTAGTTAGGGTACCAGTATGTGCAATTTGTATATCTCGGAATTTTGATATCGGTGACCTAAGGTCAGGTCAGTTTCGCGACCTCCCCATTATAAGTCAATGGGGGAAAAATCAACTCCCTGTTTTTACCACTAAAACGGGTCGGAATGGCCCCATATACCATACATGACTTCATATACGATCAACCTTCACTACCTTGAGGTCTGTTTTGCTGTTGGGCAGCTGTGAGGTCATGTGACGTCATCAAAGGTCACCAAAGGTTTTTGGCCAATAACTCCGTACAGGAACAAGATACAGACGCGTGGATGGTCTCATTGTGTTCAGCTCGTCAAGACGCATCGAATGATATACATGATGACCTCGAGGTCACGTGACCTGAGGTCAACCTTTGACCTTGACCTTTCGAGGTCAACATATATGTCATTCGATGCGGATTGACGAGAGGATCACGATGATGCCCTTAGTTTGTTCCTATCTTGACTAATTCGAAAGTTATTCGAGAAAAAACTCTCTCCATATCTAGCGCCGCCATTTTGACTTTTTCGACCCCTGTGACGTCATCTTTGACCTGACCTGAAAATGACCTTAGTAAAAATTGTAGATCTTGACCGTGCGTATCCGATGCCGTTTACCGTTTGTCGCTGCGATGTGTAGTTTTTTAGATCTGAAGGGGGGGCCGAATCGGCCCCCCCCCCCGCCAGTTTCTTGTCCCGGCGGAGCCCGCCAGGAATATGGTTAAGTTGCAATTTGCTTAAAACCCTGATTTTTGTCGATTTTTTAAACATTTACCACTTTTTGACTGAAAACGCCATGTAGTTAAGTCACTAAAATCGATATATCTAAAAAAAAAAATGGAATTTTGTCTTAAAAATTGCACAGGAGACGTCAAATTGATGGGGGAGAAGGTATGCCAAGTTTCAAGTCGATAGCGTAAGCGGTTCATAAGTTATTCAAGAAAAACGGAGGGGGGGGGGGTCGGATCCGACCCCCCCCCCCAGGCGGTCGCGGGTTAAGGTCATTTTAAGCTGAAATTACCGGAGGTCAGGTCAATTTCAGGTCAGAAAAGTCAAATTTCGAAAATGATTTTTTTTTTCAACAAAAAAGGTGCCTATAAGATGCAGTTTGAGGTCAGTAACACTATGGTGCCATTTATGTATATTTCTGTACGATGTTAAAAACGTACTGAAAAATGGTTTTGAAAAGTATATAATTGTAAAATTTTGACAAAAATGCAAATAAATTGGCTATTTCTGAAGATATTGGGCTAAAACTTGCTAGAGTAGTTCATCAGTGTGTTTTATATCACATATATTCCAGTTTTTGCAAAAAAATCAAAAACTTTTGGAAAAAAAAATCAGTAGGTATGTATATTTTTTGTAATTGTAAAAACATTACAAAAAAAAACTCGTGTCACCGCATACGTTTTAACCGTGTAGTTTTTTGCTCACCGATCTCACTTTTGTTTTGTTTTACTTTACTTTTATTGTGTTTATTTTTATGTGTATTCATTTCTCATCATTCTGCTGATGTTTATTATTACCCCCTTGTGCTTCATTTGCACTTTTATATGCATCTTTTGATGATTCTTTTTAAGCATCATGTATTTTAGCACACCTTTATCTTAATTTTCATTTTATAAAATAGTTGGGAACTGCGGGCTGTGATGCGACAGGTATGATGTTTACAATGTGTCTTATACTGTTTAACTGTTTTTATGTTGACTTCGCCTGTCAGTGGGGCTTGTCCCTGTTGGTGATTCTGATAAATAAATAAAATAAATAAATAAATATTTTTCAAAATTAAACTTTTGAAAATTTGAGATAGTAGTTTGATAGCTACGTGTATTTGTAGTCCACTGATGTAAAGAAATTGGATCTAGCTTTAAAACTACGCTCTTGAGAGCGTTTGCCATAATTCAATATTTTTCATCAAAATCGGCCGACATGACGTCACTCTGACGTCATTTCTGGCCAAACTATGGTAGATAGAAAGTTGAAATTATACCACAAGGTGTCAAATTGATGCCGCTGAAGGTAATGCAAGTTTCGTGTTGATCCGTGGAACGGCTTAGAAGATATTGCCGAAAAACGGGAGGGGCTCTGTAGAGCCCCCCCCCCCCCCCAGTCATGCGCGGGTTAAAACGACGAAAAGACTGCAAACGCGCGGCTAATGCGAGCCGACATACGCCGAATCGCGATTCCGGCCAAACAAGGTCTCGAAAAATACTTCACAGGTCAAAGGTCATTTGGGTCAGGGTCATAAAATTTTTAGGGTGGGTGTAAAATTGATTAACGCGATGGTTCCCAAAGTTTCGTGGCGATTGACAGTTTTTTTACACGAGTTATTCGCGAAAAACTGAGGTTGAGTCCATTCGACCCCCCCACACACACACACACACTTACTATACAGGTGAAGGTTAGCCTATCTGTCGGGCATTGACCTTAGCTGATCCTGACATAGCTATATATAAATAAACGTACATATGATCTCGGAATTTTGAGCTTACCTCATCTTTGGCCTCTGCTCCCACACCTTACCATATGCTCTGACTTGAGATGTGACTAATGACCTGACCTTTCCCGACAGCTGGATCACGAGCGGTCGTCGAGCAAGGACAAAGATGAAGTGATAAAGCGTCAACTGGAGGAGATGCAACAGCAAAAGGAGAAGCAACAGGCTCTGATGAACACCAAAGTGGCACTAGATGCGGAGATATCTGCCTTTAACAAGCTGCTCGAGTCTAAGAATACCAGGTTAGTGCAGCCGCCGACGATGGGGTGAGCATTGCCATGAGTACGTGTAGGTTGAGCTTCACTTCCATGCACCTCTACCCATTTGTGTGTGGCTTCCCAGGGACCAGGGCTCCCTTTCTTTCTGCTGTCTCTGTCTGTGCGTCTGTCTTGCAGTGGTCTTCAGCATCTTCTTTGCCTGTGTACATTTTTTTCAGTTTCTGTCTGTCTGTCTGTCTGTCTGTCTGTCTGTCTGTCTGTCTGTCTGTCTGTCTGTCTGTCTGTCCGTCTGTCTGTCTCTCCCCCCTCTCTCTCTCTCTCCTCTAGCATTCCCGTATCATCCCCCCCTATTATTTTACCGGTCCCGTAGCTCAGTCGGTAGAGCGTTGACTTGGACTCCGCGAGGTGAGAGCTCGCGTCCCGGTTTGACAGTCCGGGTTCGAAGCGCGACGGGCGCTCGATGTTTATGAGCCTCCTGGCGGGTATGGTTGAGGTTGGTGGCAGGCCGTAGCCAGACGAAGTCAGTGAGGGGACCGGCCGTGCGCGGCTATGTGCGTACGTTAAACTTCGGACTCTAAATTCTGCCATAGATCAGGAATTGCGCGATCGGAGGGTAGAGGGCAGGGTCATCGCAACAAGCTCTGCTTAGCGGTGGCTCTGTCCTTGTGAATCCTTCCATTCAAAAGGTTCGGACTAAATTTATTTAAAAAAATCCTCTCTCTCCCCCCTCTCTCTCTCTCTGTCCAACCCTCCCCTTCGGCACCAACCCTCCCTCCCCTCTGCAGGGTAGCGCTTGCTTGCTTAGTTAACACGCGCACCGACGGGGGGGCGGATATCCGCCCCCCCCCCCCCCCACCCCCTGAGGTTTTTCGCGGATAGCGGGAAAACCGCGGCGGCGAAATTTGGCGAAATTTGGTACGATTATTCCCTTATCAATTTTACACATGGTGTGCAAGTTTGAACCTCCTAACTTTGAAGGTCAGGTCACCAGGTCACTTTGAATGACCCAACCTCAAGTCACTTTTTTGCAACTTTGTCACCGTGCCAGAGCTACAGTAGATGTCGGAGGCCTTTGAAAGTCGCAGGATGTTATTAGGTCATTAGTAGCTACAATTTGCATATTTCCGAATTTTGATGTCGGTGACCTAAGGTCAGGTCAATTTCGCGACCTCCCCATCATAAGTCAATGGGGAAAAAATCAACTCCCTGTTTTTACCACTAAAACGGGTCGGAATGGCCCCATATACCATACATGACTTCATATACGATCAACCTTCACTACCTTGAGGTCTTTTTTACTGTTGGGCAGCTGTAAGGTCATGTGACGTCATCAAAGGTCACCAAACGTTTTTTGCCAATTACTCCGTACAGGAACAAGATACAGCCGCGCGGATGGTCTCATTGTGTTCAGCTCGTCAAGACGCATCGAAAGATATACATGATGACCTCGAGGTCACGTGACCTGAGGTCAACCTTTGACCTTGACCTTTCGAGGTCAACATATATATCATTCGATGCGGATTGACGAGAGGATCACGATGATGCCCTTAGCTTGTTCCTATCATGACTAATTCGAAAGTTATTCGAGAAAAACTCTCTTCTTATCTAGCGCCGCTATTTTGACTTTTTCGACCCCTGTGACGTCATCTTTGACCTGACCTGAAAATGACCTGTGTAAAAATTGTAGACCTTGTTCGTGCGTATCCGATGCCGTTTACCGCTTGTCGCTATCTTGCTTCGTTCTCGAGATCTCGGGGGGGGGGGGCGGTCATCCGCCCCCCCCCCGTCGGCACGAAGTTGGCGCAGACCCCCGTCGGTGCGCGGGTTAATTAATGCTTATAGCGCTATGGCTATGCTTATTTAACGATTGATAGTTAGCAACAGATGACCGCTTCATTTAATTCTGACATCAATGGCTATGTTTTCAGCATAAAGAAGCTATGTTTCCCGCCGGGCCTGAGCGAGAAATCGCTGACAAACATCCTGCAGAATTCCGAGGGTATGGAGGAACTGACCGTGACTGCACCCTCCGACTCAACGGGGCAGTGGGTGCGACTACTTCCACCGTCCTTGCGGAAGCTGGACGTTTTCGGTGAGGTCCTGCAGAGAGAGGAACCGAATAAGTTCAATTCTGACTGGGGAGAAGGGAGCAGACAGTTGTAGCTGAAGATATATGTTTTATAATACCTAGCATCATTTGTAATATTTTTTAATAACTAACAGTTTTAGCAAAGCATCCAATTTTTATCAAATTTCAATGGGGGTATCGTAGCCTTTCTCATGTATCAATTAGGCATTATCAGCATTACAACAGATTTGTAGGTATATCAATTGCAGTCGTTTTGCACTCTACCTGCATTGTGTTACATTCTATTTCAGATAAATTTCCTCAAATCATCATGTTGAGGTCAGAGGTCACCTTCATACTTTCCAAGTGCACAATTGAACAATTTATGTGTTTGTTTACAGATTATTATAGGTAAAGGTACTGACCAATAGCAATGAATCGCATAAGCACAGACAATGCAAAACTGCTCAGCAGTGTCAAGTCGGCTGTGTTGGTGTCAGTGTCGGCTGTGTCAGTATAAGTGTCTTCTACATTAGTGTTTGACAACATAGTGTCAGCGGCCTCCCGACCCGGCGGCAGCTCCGTCCGACTGCAGTCAGCTGACACAGCTCTCACTCCGACAGGACCGGGGGAGACGGGGGAGTCGGTGACTGTGCCGAAGGATAGACAGCTCGACCATGGGCTGGATGTCGTCATAAAACAGGCGGGAGAAGACGTCATCAACCAGCTGGCCTCGGAGCTGGGACAACGGGTTACCTCGCTGGCCATGTTCAATAAGTGGCGGTGTTACGGACAGGTTATCGGTATGAATGGTTAGGTATAGTGATGACACCGAGTAGTTGTGCATGGTAACACCGTCCCAGCACAGGTGAACCGGAGACATATGCATGGGACATGTCATGGGGGTACATACGTCAGAGTGGTGTGATGATAACGGTTTATGTGATGAGTTCATTAGTGGTTATTTGATGTCTTTCATGCACAATGCTGTTTACGAGCGAGCGAGCGCAGCGAGCGAAGTGAGTCTTTTCAATATAACGGAAAAATCTCAGTATGAGCGGCCCGGCCCGGCCCGGCCTGTAACGCTTTTGAGAGGCTTATATCTCAGCAACCGCTGGACCGATTGGCCTGCGGTCTTTTTTGCTGGGTAGCCCCATCCCTTCTACCCCGTAATTGACTACTTTTGATACATCTCAGTGACCGCCGTGGCACGTGCCCAAGGGTGTTCAAGCAGTTTTGCAAAAGTAATGATTTTGAGAGGCCCATATCTCAGCAGCGGCTTGAGCGATTGTCTTGCGGTCATTTTTATAGGGTAGCTGCATCCCTTCTACCAAAGGTCGGATATTCTTGATCTATGTGAGTGACCCCCACTGCACGTGCAAAATACAACAATAAGAGGTGCTAAATTTGTTCCCATTTCAGTAACTCGGTAATTACTGGGGCGATTTTGCTGGAACTTGGCATACAGGTAGGCACCCACCAGGCAATGCATTCCCATGTGTTGCGGTTAGGGTGCTACTGCACGTGCGCACGTGCAGGGGGCGTTTCCAGGTCTCGAGAACGGCTGGGCCGATTGCGCTCAAATTTGGTACACGGTTGGGGACCGGTTAGTAGGGTGCCGTGCAAAAGTCATTTTGGACCCCGTTTGCACGTGCGCACGTGCAGAATGCCGCTTCCAGATCTCAGGAACGGCTGGGCCGATTGCGTTCAAATTTGGTACATCGCTAGCGACCGGTTAGAAGGGTGCTTTGCACAAGCCCGTTGGAAGTACCCTCTCGCCCTTCTGCACGTGCAGGGCTTACTATCTCGCTCGCTCGTTCTTCGCCCAAAAGGCGTTTTACTGGTTGATATTAGTTATGTCGATTACTGCTATATTTCTGAAAAGTCATACGTGAGCAGTAGGTAGTAGCCGAGCAGGTTATCGATATGAATGGTCAGATATAGTCAGATGAACACAGAGTACCTAGTAATGGTGCACGGTTACACCGTACCAGCAGAGGAGAACCATAGACTAATGGACAGTGAATGATATGCAAATGAAATTCAAGTACACATTTTCCAAGTTCTACTTTATATTCTGAATCATCCGCAGTTTCCCGTTCTCGTCACACTCATTTAACCCTCGCCCCGTTGGGGGGGGCCATTTTGGCCCCCCCCTGTGGTTTTTCCTAAATAGCAAGAAAACGGCGGCGCGCAGCGCCGCCAAATTTTCAGTACCTTCCCGGGCATCAATTTGACACCTTCACACCAAATTTCAAGTCTTAGGTCACCTTAGGTCAGGAGTTATTGAGGTCAAACTGAGGTCATGTTCGAGCAAAAATGAGCAAAAAACATGCAATCTTGAAACGCTCACCAAATCTACAGTTGTCAAGCAATTTCAAAGTTCTTTATATGGTCTAGTAGACAAAAAGCGGCGCTACAAAACTGCTATCTCGGATTTTCAAAATTTTTGGTTTTTGACCAAAAAAAATTCAAAAAATTGATTTTTTTAGAAAAACTTTGAAAAAATCCAAAATTTTTCCGAATTTCGAAAAAACCGGAATATATGTGATAGTCCCAGCGCTCTTCTATACATACCAAATTTCAGATCGATATCTCGTTTTTTGGCCAAGTTATAGCGAAAAAAACTGTTCAAAAATGATGACGTCAAATTTTTGAACTCAATTTTTAGCAATTCTAGACCACGTACGGCAAAACAATGACCACCATTGAACTCCCCGTGACGAGCTGCATCGATTCGATACCCATTTTATGCAAAAATATTAACTTTGAAATTTGACCTAATTTGACCTGACCTTGACCTGACCTTGACCTGACCTTGACCAAAACGTGATCTAAGCTGGCCCCAAAGGCTGCCTGACCCATATAATCGCATTTGTCATGTAAAATGGACCATAAAACATGTATCACACGACACTTTCATATTGTGACCCCCCCCGTGACCTGACCTCTGTGACCTGACCTGGTATCAGTGACCTCAAATAGCAAGATATGTGTTTGAAGAACATTTCCGCATCGATGATTTTCAATGAAATGCATTTTACTCGATTTTACAACGCATTTCTTGAAGTGCCTGTAAACGGTGAAAATTGGACCTTTGACCTGACCTGTGACGTCATCGGTTTGACCTAGGTCAATAAAATTGGGTCACAAGGTAGTTCCCCGTTGGGGCTATCCAACGCCGTTTACCGCTTGTCGCTATGTTGCGTGGTTCTCGAGATCTAAGGGGGGGGGGCCAAAATGGCCCCCCCCAACCGGGCGCGTTGCTCGGCAGAGCCCAACGGGGCGCGGGTTAATTAACACTTGTGCACACGCGATTTTGTTATGCATGTTCTCCCGACATGCTGATTGTTAATAACAACCACGAAAGAGTTGGTGAGGATCCTTCATGCCCTCCCCCCAACGCGACCACAGACATGGGTATGTGGTCGAAAATGTCACCATCTGAATGATGAGGAGCAGGCAGATATCTCTGTGTATGACTGCCCACGTGGAGTCATGGACAGGCGCCTAGTAGGGACTCGCGTCCGTGTGCTCCGGCGTGGCGGATCTTGCTGAACTGCCGAAGGTACTTGTAGCTGGACAAGCGGCTGCCCTGGATCAGTGCTGGCTGGTGGGATGACTGATGGTGGGGCTAAGGAGGCAGCCCGAGGCGCACGGGCAGTCGCCTTTGCTGTTGATGCTGGAATCGGCCTATGGATGGTGGCGGGCTGCAATGGCGCCGGGGCCGGCGGCGACGCAGCACTGAAGACCGGCGGGACGGGGGCTCCGGACGGTCCATTGGGGCGCAGGAGCGGGCGATCTCGTTGGTAGACCGTGGTGTGGTTCATTGGTTGATGATTGGCAGGGTTCAGAGACTGTATCTTCCTGAGGAAGCGGCGGTTTCGCAGGGTGAGCCGGCCACTGCCATGCATCTTGACGCTGTATTGACGGTTACCCAGTGTTTCTACGACCATACCGGTGCGGTCCCAGCGAGTCGGCTGAGATCCTTGCTGGTTCTGTACTTGTACTATGTCCCCAACGCCAAGTGGCTCAAGGCAGCGTTTGTCGATGTTCTTTCCGTGCAGCTGAGCGTACCCACGTTCCCGGAGCTCCCTCAATTTCCCCCATTCGGGACGAACAAAGTGCGGCGTCGGGAGTCCATCACGTAGCTGCCGTCCGAAGAGGATCTGTGCTGGTGACTCGCGCGTACCGTCGCGCCCAGGTGTGTTACGGAACTGAAGAAGCGCTCGTGTCACTTGATCCGTGTTGAGCTGGCCGCACCTGCTCGTGTTGTCTTGTAGAAGCCGTTTCGCTGCTTTGACAGCGACTTCGGCACGGCCATTGCTCTGGGGGTAATGCGCAGAGGAGAGCCTGTGCTTGATGCCCCACTGTTGGAGGAATTGTTTGAATTCCTCGCTGTTAAATGGCGGTCCACCGTCAGACTCAATGGTGGTGGGTACGCCCCAGTGCGCAAAATACTTGCGTAGCTCGGAGACCAGGGTCGAGATCTTGCCATCTGACATTTGACTGATGTTCAACCATCCTGAATAGCGGTCCACGTACACCAGGTAGAAGTAGCCTGCCAGCTGGAAGTAGTCTGTGCAGACTATCTCGAAGGGAAAATCGGGGCACGGCGGTTCCAGCGCTGGTTCGCTTGGCTGTGACGGGGCCATCCTTTGGCATGTTTTACACTGTGCTCGCTTCTGTGTTATTGCTGCATCCATCCCAGGCCAGAAAAATCGGTTCCGAGCGCTGTTTTTCATGCCCACTTCGCCCTGATGAGCTGAGTGAAGACATTCCAGTAATTCCACTCGAAGTGACTGTGGAATGTACATTTTCTGGCCGTGGAATGGGACGCCTTCGAGCTCATGCAGGTCGTGTCTCATCGGCCAGAAGACTTTGAGGTGGTCCGGGACGTCGGAACGCGTCTCGGGGAAGCCGCGGCAGATCATTGCCGCTAGGTCGATGCTGGTGGCGTCTACCATGCACTCCTCCTTCACCAGCTCCCAAGTGATCGCTCGAAATCCGTCCGAGCCGGCCGAGGAGGCTGCCAGCTCAGCAACGGCCACCATGGCTTCATGGATGCTTCGTGCGTGTTCAGTATCTGTGTGGGCCGGCTCAGCTCTCATGACTGCAAAGCCGCTCAGCGAGTCGTTCAGCTGTGTGGGCGTGGCTGCACTGCTGGAGGCTGGATATCTGGAAGCAGCATCTGGACCCACATGCTCTTTCCCCGGGACGTGCTTGATTGTGAAGCGGTACATGAGCGTTTTCTCCTTCAAGCTGAACAGCCGTGGGTTTTTTATGTTCTCCAGCGACTGGTCTGAGAATAGTTTTACCAGTGGCTTATGATCAACTGCTACGGTGAGATTCGGACATCCCAGTACAAACATGCGACACTGCTGAAGTCCGTAGACGAGAGCGAGAGCCTCTCCCTCCACTGGGGCATACCGAGACTCGGCATCTGTGGTGAAGCGACTCCCGGCGAATACGAGTTTCCAGTGATCTGGCCCAGAGTATGGTGCCTTTTCCATGCCACACTGGCAGTGTTTTTGCTGGAGGATGAAGCCGAGTCCATGTCTGCTCCAGTCTGTTGAGAGGCAGGTTGGCCGATCAATCTCAAATGCTCGCACACCTTCAGCCACGCGCTTGGCAATGGTATCTTTGGATTGCTGGAACAGTCGGTCAAGAGTCTCGTCCCAGTAAAACTTGCTGTTGCCTTTAGTTTTGAGCAGTTCTCTGAAGGGTGACATGACCTCAGACTGGGCAAACGCGTAGGAGACTTGGTTAACCAGCCCGAACCAGCTTCTGACTCCTGTGAGGTTGGATGGCGTCGGAAAGTTACGGATGGCGTCGAGAAGCCGTCCCGTTGGTTTGTACCCGTCAGCAGTGACTGTGAAACCAGCGAAGTCAACGGTGTCCGCCCCGAAAGAGAATTTAGAAGGGTTGAACACGACGCCGTGTTCCCCACAGAGCGTGATGTAGTGCACGGTGTGCCAAAAGGCCTCCTCCAGTGATCCGTCCCAGAGCAAAGACGTTAGGCGGCACGGGCGGACATCGATAGCAGCGCCTCTATCGGTCACTAGGGAAAGCTGGGCTGTAGGCGACGAAATACCGGCTGAGTTGTCACAAGTTAAATAGGTTTATAGAAATCCGTCTTGTGAAAAAGTTGAACTTTTGCCTTCAATATTTCTACAGGCAATTTTAGAAGTGCCTTCACATAGATTACAAAACCGTTTAAATTATTTTATTCACTTCAAGCCTTCCCTATTGTTCTTGATGATCCGGGAACTATTTCTTATTAGTGTTTCTAGCATAGTAAAATAACATATTGTGCAAACGATGAAAAAAGCATAAATGGAAGATTTTTAAATGCAATTTTCTGTAACAAATAATGGTAAATTCTCTACACATCAAGGAAAAGGTGCATGCTAACTGATAATTTAAAGTTCTTGGGGCCAGTTGGTTTCTTCTTTTCTTACGTCGCCCCAATGGCCGCGAATACACTTGTGATAACGCCTATCGGAGTCGTCGACACACCTTCTAAGACCCTGCAGTGATGTCATCCATGCGGCGTGTATAGCCGTCACCGGAGGCGTGAAATCCCTGAGGTGCGCGCTTGTAGCGATACCTTCCCCACTCAGTTATGAAGGTTGTCGCTTCTCTCGCGTTCTCGGCCAGTGATAGGCTATGGTAGCCATTCCATGCGTCCAGGGTAGTCTTCTTTGACCCGGGTGGCACGCTAGCGACGAGATTGAAGGGACTGGGCGTATGGTGAGTCTCTCGGAGGGTGGCCTCGTTCACTCGCTGGAGGTCTACTGTCCGACGAGGAGAGCCATCCTTTTTCGCTGCGACCACCATCCTCGAACACCAGCGTGTCGGGGTTCCCTGTGGCACCGGCTCAATTATGCCAAGACGTACGTCTTGGTCCAGACCGGCCTTTACCTGTCTTTTCCAGTGGTGGGGGACTGGAATGGGCGTATGAACAGCCGTCGGTGTTGCATCGGCCTTGAACTGGATATCTAGTGGTGTGCCCGTCATCTCCTGGAGTGGCTGGTGCTCGCAGGTATTGAATGCGCTGCTGGCAAAATGGTCTCTGATCCAGTGCTCTAACTTCTCCCTGTTTTCCTCGACGGCTGGAAGCGGCATCTTCTCCGGGATCGCGGGCACTGGTGACCTCTTCAGACACCCACAGGGCGCTGTGTGGGTCTGTGCTTTGTTGACCTCATCTGGGTCTGTGCGCTGGGACGTAACCTTAGATCCGTCCGGTCCGTTTTCGGGCAAAGGGAAGTGTTCCGGCACGACTCCCAGGTCTCTGAGGGCCCTTTCAGATAAATAGAGGCCGTGCGTGTTGCGCGAGATGTACACTACTTGTCTAGTGACTCGTCCTTTGGCCTCAATCCTCAGCAGAAGTGAGCCTATCACCTCCAATCGTGTGCCCGTTACGCCAATGATGCGGTGTGAGGTTTTCAGGAGAAGGTGTTCCGGACAGCGCGGGAGTTCAAAATCTCCATCCCCCCAGAGCAGGTCATGGCTCCAGTGTCAGCGCACGCTGTGGCGCGCACGCCGTGGTCGACTTTACTGCGCTCGATCCCTGTGAGACGCTTCCCGAATCTGGAATGGGCTTCCTGCATGATGGTGAGCGTGACTGGAAGTTCTGGATGGCGTTTTGGCTGGCAAGTCGTGAACTGACCATCTTTCCACTCCATGTGAGACACTGATTGTGCACTGCTTTGGGAGACTGTAGATCTGGCAGTAGTGCTAGACGGCAGGGCGCTGGCTGACTGAGCCGGTCCGGAGACGTTAGCGTGCGCTGATATCTCATCCATACCGTCTCCGAACGCGTCCAGGGACGACTCAGCGCTTGCACTCACTGGCTGGGCAGCCCGACATGCACGAGCGAAGTGATTTCGCTTCTGACAATTTGTGCAAGTCTTACCACGTGCTGGGCAGGATGAGTGCTGGTACTTGTTGCCGGACGTCCTGTGCCGCCCTCCGCACCAGCGACACGGACTGAGCTCCTCCTGGCTGTCAGCATTGGGCGGCTTGTCAGGTTTGTGTCGCTGCTGTTGATATGCAGAGCGATGAGCCGCCGCAATATCTGGTGCTGCCTGTCTGCTGGTCGGCAACACGCCCGTCTGAAGCTGCTTCTCGCTATCGTCGGCAGCCTGCATCGTGAGAAGGGCCTGGAATTTCTGTGCGAATGTCGGATACCGATCGGCTGCCGATAGAATTTGGCTTTGATGCTCTGGGTTGTAAAGACCGACAACCATCTGCGTCTGTAGCACGTCCTCCTCGTAACTGATCGGGCCGGGCTCGGTGCTTTCTGCGTGAGGTCTATGCGCAGTTACTGAGAAGTCGCAGAGAGCGGCTTTGGAACGTAGCCGCGCTACGAAATGCGTGATATCCTCACCTTGGGCCTGTCGAAGTGCGTGGAACTGGCTCCGATGAACCGCAGTATGCAGGCCACGAACTGCCACCGCCTTTATCTGAGAGAGAAGATCGGCCTCATTCGACTGACTTAGAGTTGTTCCTCGCAAGTGGAACAACTGTCTTTCCAACTCCGGGCTGCATGCCGATAGGAGCTCGTGTCTGATGGCTTCCTCTCTAACAAGTCCAGCGACTGTCTTGTATCTTTCCCATTGAAAGAGAAACAATCTCCAGTCTTCGTCACTGGCATCCAAGGCTACCGTCGGGCGGCATGCCCGTGGTGTTGCTGTCGAGTTTTCTCTCGTCAGGAGAGCACGAAACTGCAGTTCGGTGAGAGTAATTAGAACAGGATTCTGTGTGTTTTGTGGTGGGTTCATTTCATTTTCTTCCACCGACCGCGCCATGAATGATATGCAAATGAAATTCAAGTACACATTTTCCAAGTTCTACTTTATATTCTGAACTAGGTGTTCAGCATTACGCGCAGCGTAATAAATCAAGTTTCAATAAAATCGGCCCAGTAGCGGCCGAGTTATGGCCAGAATAAATTTGGCGTCTCCTCCTGGCCGGCGGTGCTCTGTTCCGGTATTCATTGCCAAAGGTCAACGACCTGCCGGCTCTGATTTCGCTCAGTTTTGCAAGCGAAGAAACTGAGGCTAATGCGCGTGCTTTCTGATCGGCGACGGCCGCGGCCCAAAATCCCGCAAAGATGCGCCCGCCACGTGCACACCGCTGCACGCACCCCCTCGAAAAGTTGATACGACAAACAGATGCACGCGTCCGACTTGCGCCCAAAATTTCACCCCCGTAGCCCGCACCGTTCCACAGCAATAGCCCGCCAAGCGTGACGGACGCGTCACATACATACATACATACGGACATTTTGATTTTTATATATGTAAACTAGAGGGACAGCATTACGCGCAGCGTAAAGAGGGACAGCATTACGTACAGCGTAATAAATCAAGTTTCAATAATATCGGCCCAGTAGCGGCCGAGTTATGGCCAGAATAAATTTGGCGTCTCCTAGCCGGCGGTGCCCTGTTCCGGTATTCATTGCCAAAGGTCAGTGACCTTCCGGCTCTGATTTCCCTCAGTTTTTAAAGCGAAGAAACTGAGCCTAAGGCGCGTGCTCTCTGATCGGCGACGGCCGCGGCCCAAAATGCTGCAAAGATGCGCCCGCCACGTGCAAACCACCGAACCCACCCCCACCAAAATTTAATACGACAAACAGATGCACGCGTCCGACTTGCACCCAAAATTTCACCCCCGTAGCCCGCACCGTTCCGGAGCAATAGCCCGCCAAGCGTGACTGACGCGTTACATACATACATACATACATACATACATACGTACAGACGTTTTGATTTTTATATATGTAAATGGCGTCTCCTCCTGGCCGGCGGTGCTCTGTTCCGGTATTCATATTTCATTGCCAAAGGTCAGTGACCTTCCGGGTCTGATTTCGCTCAGTTTTGCAGCGAAGAAACTGAGCCTAAGGCGCGTGCCGTCTGCTCGGCGCCGGCCGCGGCCCAAAATCTCGCAAAGATGCGCCCGCCACGTGCAAACCGGCGAGCGCACCTCTTCCAAAATTTAATACAACAAACAGATGCACGCGTCCGACTCGGCGCGAAAATTTCACCCCCGTAGCCCGCACCGTTCCGGAGCAATAGCCCGCCAAGTGTGACTGACGCGTCACATACATACATACATACATACATACATACATACGGACGTTTTGATTTTTATATATGGGATCATCCGCAGTTTCCCGTTCTCGTCACACTCATTTAATTAACACTTGTGCACACGCGATTTTGTTATGCATGTTCTCCCGACATGCTGATTGTTAATAACAACCACGAAAGAGTTGGTGAGGATCCTTCAGACAGTATTAGCAATGACGTCACAAACGTGTATATGTTTGTATGTGTGTATGTGTGGTATGTTGGGTCGGACTGACTACGTTGGGTATGACCGACGACAGGTATGTTGACGAGTATGACGTTACTCGTGCTGCGTGTGTACGGAATGATATGATGACATGTAGGGGACACGTATAAAAGTGATCAGCATCACAATTACTCACTGCATATTTGAATACATCGTTTCACTTATAAGTTACAATGTTATTGACTACTGATAACGTATTGTGCTATATGCGCAGCTGATGTCAATATGCATTATGACTGTCAATTCCCACACCATTCACCTACCATGTCTGTATGTGCCTGTGTTTCCCAGGCTGCCCGCGTGTCACTGCCGGGGCCCTACAGAGACTGCTGTCCGCCCTCACCGGCCTGGAAGACGTCACACTTAACGGCACTCTGTCCGGCGCCATCACTGACGCCTCACTGGCCGCCCTCCACGGCTGCTCCCAGCTGCGTGTAATGCAGCTGGGAGACAGCGTGTACCAATGCACGGATATACCGGTCACAGCGGTCAGCAGGTCAGTCAGCTGTACATACACCCAGACCGGACCCAGACCAGATCCATATCAGACCAGACCAGACCCAGACCAGACCCAGACCAGACCCAGACCAGACCCAGACCAGACCCAGACCAGACCAGACCAGACCCAGACCAGACCCACACCAGGCCAGACCAGGTCAGACCCAGATCAGACCAATTGAGCTGTAATCGCCACGCACTTTGAGAATGTGGATCGCTCATGATTATTCAATGCAATACAATACAATACAATACAATACAATACAATACAATACAATACAATGCAAACAAGCATGTATGGTCTATTTGTATGTTAGGGCTGTCAGCTGTGTATTGTGGCTATAACCAAAACATTTTTTGTATAAATGTTTAAAGCCAAGCATTTTGTTGTATCATAGGAATCGGTATGCATATTACATTGATCTAATGGGTGTATGGATTACGTGCACAATGTATATGGCTATAGCCATACATAGGTATTATGCACGTAAACTAACACCAGCTAGCACGCTACTTACCGCATCGACCCTAGTCTTCAGACCGGACCCGAACGCCGAACCCCAGCCGGACCGGACCTGACCTGAGCTGGCCCTGTGGAGACCGGGCCCGTCCCTTCCAGACGGCCGGTCGGGCGACTGGTGTCGCTGACTGGCCTGTGTCCTGATCTGTCGCAGACTGGCGGTTACCTGTCGGAAACTGGACTGGCTGTCTCTCCACGCAAAGCAAGAGCTCAGTCAGACGGTCCTGGACGGCCTGGTAGAGGCAGACCTGGGGAAGAGAGATGACGGCAAGCCGAGAACACTGAGGTTCAACGTCCCAGGTGAGTGACGGCGCCGCCCAGCGCCTCTGATCAGTCCCACAACAGACGGCTCGGCGCCACCGGCCTCTCGGAGCCACTGTCGCACACTCTCTCAACGGGTGGAGATGAACACATGACGCTGAAGTGACGTCATAACTGATAAACAGCATAGTGATGTCATTCATATGTATGTAGATTCGAGTCTACCGTTATGTGTGGCGTGAATGGTTGTTCAAGCATGGAATATACCAAGCACTAGCTGATATTTGTTGATAGGTTAGCTAGTACAGTAAGATGACGTCACTCATATTTAGGTAGTTAATTGATATGGCTTGAGCTCTGACACGGTGTGTGGTATGAATTGATGTTATGGACATGTTCACTGTACTGTGGTCTTCACTGTTTATTTGTGCAACTCTGTGTATAAGGTATGTGTGTATAGCGTGCAAGTGTGTGGTGGCAACTGCTAGTCATGTGAATTTCGGCTACGGTCGTACTTCCGTGTATTTATAGTTACTGCATGGAACATCGGGCACGCAATCGGTCTTGTGCTGTTTGTGCCATTTTGAGGCGTCACATCAGAAGTCCGAACTTATGATGTGTAATGTCTTGTTTTGTTTTTGTTGGAATAGGCTCTTTCGGTCAAACGAGACATTTCAGAGCCGGAGAGATTATAGGAATTATGGGGAGGCATTGGTCTGGGCAGGCACCCTGGTGAGTCGCCGGGGCTGAGCCCATCACATGGACAGACCACCCAGCCCCTAACAGTCACCGCACCCGGCTACGAGCTGCTCCTAGGGGAGCTACCCGCACGAGATAAAGGCCTTGGGGATAAAGTTTATCCAGCCCGGAACAGGTGGCGGAGGAGGGAGGATAAGGATTTGACTACCTTGAGGATGGTTACGACGGAATGAAGTGTAGGCCTATATGTAACGTCACATTAAAAACAAGGCGTATGAGTTGTTATGCCGTGTAACCTTTCTTTTCGTTGTCTTATCCACAGGAGCCGTTTATGACAAACTGAGCAAACCGTCTAATACCGGCAACATCAAGGTTGTGAGGGACGCCAAATACTAGATGGGATTATCATTTATAACGACTCGCCTACAGCGGTATCAGCGGTGATCATTCTCAGTGAGTACAGCAGGTGGCAGCACCTTTGAGCTAGGTGTCAGCACCAGCGTATTTCCCCACAGGATGACAGCAGGTGTAGCACCTTGCAGTTGCAGGACGATGAACAGATAGTAGTATAGACCATTTGACGTAACAATATGTCCCCAATTTTGCACCTGAGTGCTTGGTCGTTGGCTCCTTGCTACCCATAACTTAGAAAGGTGAGCAGAATGCAAATAAATATAGGTATCTCACGCTCACTATTTAGCGGCATGGACTTGCAGGTCATATCCCGAAGTGCAGATATCCTAGCGTGCCAATCCAGTGACGTAATACTCATACTGCTCCATTTCTTGGTAACATCCAACATAAGAGAGCTAATGTGAAACATCTCTATGAATGGAGACAAATGGTCAGAAATGACTTGGATAGGTTTGGTTATGTTATACTTTTTTCAGCGTCACCCTCATTTCAGACTGGATATCATTGTAGGCAAGGTGCTGAAACATACACCATAGCAGAATTTAGTCCAGTCCAAACTACTAGACGTATAATGACGTCATACATACTCCGCCCGGCAGGCTTGTTCACCCTTGGATTGGAAGGATCCGAGAATATGACGGACAAATGGGACGACAGCCGGCCGGGCTTTATCACCAACTGGGAGCCAGTGAAGCTGCGCTCCCTCAGCACCGGGTGGACACGGTGGGGTCGAACATAATGCCGGCTTGTTCTTACTATGCTGCTTTTGCTTATATGTTTTCTGTATCATATATGATGAGAAACAATTACGTAATAGTTCGGTGAAAATCATTCAAATGATGTGAGCAATTGTAGAGATTGTGTGGCTTAGGGAATAAAAATATGGATAAGATGCACAGTTAGATGATCGTCAATGTTGCCTTATCCAGTCCCGGCTTGTCGAAATATAGGTATCAGCAACCTAATTATGGTACACTCGGGGGCAGATTGATGTTCCACAACTCCTTATCCACCGGGTTCCTATGGCTCAGCATTGGCAGCAGCCGCCTGGTACCGGTAGACTGTGCCGCTTCACTTACTTGTCAAGCGGCACAGCCTACCCACACCGTATGCCACCGGTCTGGGTCGGTGGCTGTAAGGCGATGTGGGCCGCCTGTGACGTCAGCGCAGCGGTGAGGGCCGAGCCCGGAGGCATGGCTCGGGTCGGCGCGGCGCGGCGGCTGGCGAGGGCTGGGGAGTGAGGTGGGATGGGAGCACGGACCATCGCGCGGCTGAGCGAGTGTAGTTAACTTTCGCGTCTCAAGGCGCCAATTATTCTACCTAACAATTGTGCTAAAGCAGTTGTTAAAATGTCCTATCCCCAAGACAGCGCCTATCATCATACTTGCCATGCACATTACGACACACTTAAACGTGACATTGGGACAGCCGATAGAATTTATATCACACGTGCATCGAGTTGCGGAGCTACATTGTTTTTAACAGATATGTATTAAGGCCTTGATTGAGCTCATTGGTGTCTATTATTTCGCACAGCAATCGTCGAGAGACGTGGGAACTGGGGTTTTTGGATAGCGCGGCGTCCCAAAGCAACTCTTATGTTCCTCTAATGTGTGGTCGCAGCCACCAATAGCAAACCGTTCCATCTAGGAACAAATAAGTCGCGCACCTGGGACGGTTCGAACCGGGTTTCTCCAACCGGTCACCCCACGACGCTAGCGTGTATCCACTGAGCTGCCGAAACCAGCGACCGCCCGCCGCGGTCAAACGCGATCAAATGTCACAATACTGTCATTGGCGGTCAGCGGGTGAATGTCATTTTGTTTTGCGCGGACGAGGACCATTCTCGGTAGCTCAGTGGATGAACGCTAGCGTCGTGGGGTGACCGGTTGGAGAAACCCGGTTCGAACCGTCCCAGGTGCGCGACTTATTTGTTCCTAGATGGAACGGTTTGCTATTGGTGGCTGCGACCACACATTAGAGGAACATAAGAGCTGCTTTGGGACGCCGCGCTATCCAAAAAACCCAGTTCCCACGTCTCTGGACGATTGCTGTGCGAAATAATAGACACCAATGAGCTCAATCAAGGCCTTAATACATATCTGTTAAAAACAATGCAGCTCCGCAACTCGATGCACGTGTGATATAAATTCTATCGGCTGTCCCAATGTCACGTTTAACCCGCGCCCTGGTGGGGTCTGTTTATAACGCGACCTGGTGGGGGGGGGCTATTTTTTGCCCCCCTCGTATCTCCGAAACTACTGGACGGATCCGCAAAATTCAAACGGCATTCGAAAGGCCTGTCAAATTTGTTGAGGGGAACCAAATTTCATTGACCTCGGGGTCACCGATGACGTCACAGGTCAGGTCAAAGATGAAATGTTTCACCGTTCACGGGTCTTCTAGGGAATGCGCTATAACACCGAGGAAAACGCATTTTGTCGAGAATCAGCGATAGGGCGTCAGTTGCCTAGTAGATATGTTGCTATTAGAGGTCACTGACAATACCAGGTCACGTCACAGGTCAGGTCACCAAGGGTCACAGGTCAGGTCACATGAGCCCAACTTTACTAAGGTTGTGTGATGCATGTTTTATGGCCAATTTTTCATTTCCAACTCAATGGTGTTGGTTATAAGACTATCAGGTACGGCTTAGGTCACTTTCTGGTGAAGTTCAGGTCAAGGTCAGGTCAAGGTCAGGCCAAAAAAGGTCAAATTTTAAAGTTGATAGTTTTGCATAAAATGGGTATTGATTCGATGCAGCTCGTCACGGGGAGTCTAATGGTGGTCTTTGTTTTGCGCTACGGGGTCTAGAATTGCTAAAAATTGAGTTTGAAAATTTGACGTCATCAATTTTGAACAGTTTTTTCACTATAACTTCGCCAAAAAAAGAGGTATCAATCTCAAATTTGGTATGTGGATGGAAGGCGGTAAGGACTATCACATATATTCCGGTTTTTGCGAAATTCAAAAAACTTTTTGGATTTTTCGATCATTATATCCAAAAAATTTATTTTTTGATTTTTGGGGGTCAAAATCCAAAAATTTCAAAAATCCGAGATGGCAGTTTTGTAGCCCTGTCAATTCTACAGCTTTTATGTCCATATCATTTTTCTGTATTTGCAAAGCTATAGGCCTGACAGATCTTCCCGCGAAACCCTTTTTTGGGTCGAAAACGGCAGAACATGACGTCACTCTGACGTCATTTCCGGCCAACCTATCATAGCCTTTGGAAAAATTTTTGGTCACCATGTGTAAAATTGATGTCCGGGAGGGTACTGAAAGTTTGGTGACGATCGGCGCAGCGGTTCTGGAGATATATCGAAAAGTCTGGAGGGGGGGGGGGCAAAAATAGCCCCCCCCCCCACCAGGTCGCGGGTTAAGTGTGTCGTAATGTGCATTGCAAGTATGATGATAGGCGCTGTCTTTGGGATAGGACATTTTAACAACTGCTTTAGCACAATTGTTAGGTAGAATAATTGGCGCCTTGAGATGCGAAAGTTAACTACACTCGCTCAGCCACGCGATGTCCGTGCTCCCACCCCACCTCACTCCCCAGTCCTCGCCAGCCGCCGCGCCGCGCCGACCCGAGCCATGCCTCCGGGCTCGGCCCTCACCGCTGCGCTGACGTCACAGGCGGCCCACATCGCCTTCCAGCCACCGACCCAGACCGGTGTCATACAGGTGGGTAGGCTGTGCCGCTTGACAAGTAAGTGAAGCAGCACAGTCTACCGGTACAGGGACCCGCAGTTGCTTCTGTACACACTAGTATTTCAGCGTATTCTTTGCCTGTGACACCGTTGGAGGCGAATTGGGAAATGATTGTGTGCTTATTAAAACCACCATCTGAAAGGCTTTAAACTGATGTGCTGCTCTCCTAATTCAGTGAACTTTTTATGGCTATATCAGCAAAACATTGTTTTCAGCGCTTTTTCCTGCCCCATTCCTTCTAAAACCTGGAACCGCTTATTCCATTTACTCCTGCCATCTGACGATGGTCGTGCTGACTACTAGTTCCGGCGCTAGTTACTGCTCCAGTTTTGCACCCGGCACAAACTCAGGCGGCACCGGGCCGTGGCTCGACCAGAGGAGGGTCGGACCGAGCCGACTGCCTGGGGCGCGGTTAGATCGGACGCCGTGCTGGGGAAGGGGACGGGAGTGAGGGGGAGGGGAGGAGGTGATCACGTGGTCCGTCCAAGCTCGCAGACGGCCTGTCCTGCGCCCAGCCATGTTCCGTGATCCAAAATGGCACGAGAGCTGTGGAATGCGTGGAGGAGACGCTTCGAAAGCGAACTTCAGCGGCACTAATTTGCCATATTCTGTGGAGATAAATGAATATTATCTTATTGCAGAAAAAAAATTGTATGCCTAAGCTGTATAGTGTATAAGCTGTATCTTTTTATAAAGTTGTAAATAGGATTATTTTTAGGGACTTATGGTCTCGTATACACAGTGAATTGTGTTACATTAAGCCGTTTCGCTGTTATGGTTACTAACTGAAGAGTTATCCTTTTTTCTCACAGGGAATGACAATACAATAACAATACGAATAAAACCAGACGTTTCGCACAAAAAAGTGCCTCTGTCAGTGGCAAGAAATAAGTAATTAGGCATACATGTTTTCTTTCGATAAAATCGATGAAGTAGTTATCTTTATTTTCTAAGATATATTTTCAGCAGTTTTTTAAGCACATCATGGAAGCTTATAAACATTTGTGTATTTTATCGGCAACCCGGCTGGCCAGACCGAGACGGTGCCGCATATAGTTCTCATCGATGTTAAACCTATACACTTATTTTTCTCCACTGACGAAGGCACGTTGTTGTCCGAAACGTTTGGTTTTATTCGCATTGTTTTTATATTGTCATTGTCCGTGAGAAAAACATACTCACATTGACTGGTCTCAGTTCATGTAGAAATTGTTGCATATTCATCAACACAGATAAAATGAATATTAGCCCTCACTACACATATAAGTAGAGGTAGACCGCGCCCCCTGTTTTTCACCAATAAATCGCGATTCGCGGCAAAGCGAAGGATTGCGACGATTCTTTGGTGCCCTGGAGTTAATCAAATTTACAACTTCCCGGAAAATTAAATAGTTAGCCCTGATCATTTTTGCATCTTGTCTGATAATTTTAAATCCCTGAACCAAATTACCTTTAACCTGTGATTATTTTTCCCAAGATCATGTCAGGCCAGAATAGCAATTGAAAGTCAGCGCACATCTTCTGTGTGTTTCCATAGTCGTTTCGTAATTAGCAACGTGACAACATGTGAAGTATACTATCTAATGTTTGTCTCATTGATTGTTGTGGGTGCCAAGGTCACGTGAAACTCAGGGTTAAGGTCATTTACTTGAAATGATATCGGTTAACTTCCTTAAATTCACACCTTTTTACTGTGGTTTTTAGGAAGTGTTGGTTTGAAATTTAGCACTCATTTTAGCATTTGAAAACTGGCATACTTAGGTATCAGTTATAGTGCCTATGCAATATGTTGCAAGGCTGTAAGTGCTGGTTAACATTCTATGGATAGGTGGCAGAACGCCTAATGGGTGATCTGGCGTAAGCCGTCCTACCCCAAATGCTTTGATACATCATCTTTGATCAAAGCAAGTGCAAATTCGGAGTCAGAAGCAAGCCAAGTCCCAGCAAACTTCACTTGTAGAAATTCTAGCAGGACCCATTTTTACGTGCTTTTGGGTTATTAACCTGATCTAGGAGGTCAACCAGTGACCTAGGATCTCAGCATTGACCAGGATATAAAAATAATTGGCTTTCTCTCGTCAGCGATGACCAGGACCCTCAAATCATCGGATTTCTCTCGTCACGAGCAGCTCGCTCTTTTTTTATTTTTCAGCGAAGCTCTGGCTATTTTTATCAAGGGCCGAATGGCTGAGGGTTTCTACGCCCCTCCGCTACATGTAAGACGCTGGAAAGAAATGCCTAAGTGGGTGAGGGTTAAATATCGA